GATCTATTTGCTGTTTTTTTTTTTTTTTTCTAGCTCCTTTATGTGTAAGGTTAGCTTTTGTATTTGAGTTCTTTCCAGTTTTTGAATGGATGCTTGTATTGAGATGTATTTCCCCCTTAGGACTGCTTTTGCTGCATCCCAAAGATTTTGAACAGTTGTATCTTCATTCTCATTAGTTTCCATGAATCTTTTTAATTCTTCCTTAATTTCCTGGTTGACCCTTTCATCTTTTAGCAGGATGGTCCTTAACCTCCACGTGTTTGAGGTCCTTCCAAACTTGTTGTGATTTAGTTCTAATTTCAAGACATTATGGTCTGAGAATATGCAGGGGGGATCCCTGGGTGGTGCAGCGGTTTGGCGCCTGCCTTTGGCCCAGGGCGCGATTCTGGAGACCCGGGATCGAATCCCACATCGGGCTCCCGGTGCATGGAGCCTGCTTCTCCCTCTGCCTGTGTCTCTGCCTCTCTCTCTCTCTCTCTCTCTGTGTGTGTGACTATCATAAATAAATAAAAATTTAAAAAAATCTATAAAAAAAAAAGTATCCTTCCCCTTTCTCTAAAAAAAAAAAAAAAAAAAAAAAAGAATATGCAGGGGACTATCCCAATCTTTTGGTATCAGTTCAGACCCGATTTGTGACCCAGTATGTGGTCTATTCTGGAGAAAGTTCCATGTGCACTTGAGAAGAATGTGTATTCAGTTGAGTTTGAAAGTAAAGTTCTGTAGATATCTGTGAGATCCATCTGGTCCAGTGTATCATTTAAAGCTCTCGTTTCTTTGGAGATGTTGTGTTTAGAAGACCTATTGAGAGTAGAAAGAGCTAGATTGAAGTCACCAAGTATAAGTGTATTATTATCTAAGTATTTCTTCACTTTGGTTATTAATTGGTTTAAATATTTGGCATCTCCCACATTTGGGGCATATATATTGAGGATTGTTAAGTCCTCTTGTTGGATAGATCCTTTAAGTATGAGATAGTGTCCCTCTTCGTCTCTCACTACAGTCTTCGGGTAACTTTTCACATAAAGGTGAAAATAAAGTGTTACTTTTTGTAACTTTTTCCTCACTTACCATAATTATTTGGAGGTTTATTCACTTGTAGCATATGCATATACATTTGTATATCTATCTATTCACTTAATGGGCATTTGAGGCCTTTCTAAACTTTGGCTGTTATAAATAAAAATGCTATAGATATTCATGTTCAACTGTTTATGTAGATGTATCTTTGGGGAGGGGGTGGTTGGAGTACATACCTAGAAGTGGTATTGAAATGTCATTAAATAAATTTATGTACAACATTTTAAGGAGTATGCAAACTTTCCAAAATGGCTTCTTTTTACATCCAGATAAGGAATATATAAGAATTCTAATCTCTTCACATACTCATAAGCATTTGTTATTATTTTCATTTTTGGTTACAGTAATTCTGTCAGGCATGAAATATAATTATGTTATGATTTTGATTTGCAATTCCCTCATGGCTAATAATATTGAGAATTTTCTATGTGCTTATTGTCTATCTGTATATCTTATTTAGAGAAACATCTATTTAAACCTGTGTTCCATTGTAATTGAATCATGTGTCTATTTACAATTGATATATGAGATGGTTTTATTTATTTATTTATTTATTTATTTATTTATTTATTTATATTTTTTTATTGGAGTTCAATTTGCCAACATATAGTATAACACCCAGTGCTCATCCTGCCAAATGCCCCTCTCAGTGCCCATCACCCAGTTACCCCAACCCCCCGCCCACCTCCTTTTCCACTATCCCTTGTTTGTTTCCCAGAGTTAGGTGTCTCTCATGTTTTGTCACCCTTACTGATATTTTCACTCATTTTCAGATGGTTTTATGTATCTTTATTATATATTTATATTTTCTCTATTAGGTAATATATTTATTTATATTGTATATTTATTTGATAGTAAAAGTATAAAAGATTATGTCTTCTGAAAATATGTACCTATTTCCCTTCTTTTCTTTCTTCTCTTCTTCTTTTCTTATCTGTATGTCTTTTATTTCTTATTCTGGTCTTGCTGCCCTGTGTAGAATTTCCTGTACATTGTCAAATATAAATAGTTATTGTGGATCTCCTTGTCTTATTCTTGATTTAGGGGAAATCATTCTGTTTTCTATCAGTAAGAGTGATACTCACTGTAGATTACTTCATAAAATGGCATAAATGAAGCTCAATTTATTGAGTGTTTTTGTCATGAATAGGTATTACATTTGGTCAAGAGCTTTTTCTGCATATATTGAGATAATCATGTATTTTTGTCCAGTTCAGGTAAAATGGTGCATCATCTTGATTTCTAGATATTAAACCAAATATGCAGTCCTGGAATCAATTTCATTTGAACAATATGTATTATCCTTTTCAGTGGAAAAAAAAAAAAGAGTGTTCATTTTAACAAACAACACTGGAACAATTGAACATCTATCTAGAATATCTAAATTCTCTTATTTTATCATTATTACACCGCAAGGAACCACAGTTAACCTGAAAATATACTTGGCGGGGAACTGGGTGCCATAACTCCTTGGTATTTTTGTTTGGTCATTTGAGAGGAGTTGATGATAGTCATAGAGTCTTAGCTGGTTGCATGGCAGTACCTAGAAAAGTATTTTCTAGTTTCTCTTCCAGCTTGGAGAGGGAGGGTTTTATGGCTAAATTTGACATAGGGGATTATGCTTGGAAGTCCTGCATGCTGTTTCTTCTAGTTTCCTTCTTATTCTAAAAAGGAATAAGTGAGTGCTCCCCTTCAGCCCCCTCCTCCCTTTCTATCCTGTGGGAAATGATGAGACTACCTGACTAACATGGACATGATGATGGCAGGTTCACATTGAAGGTGACATCACTGCCCCCAACAGCCCTAGATTTCTTACCTCTGAATTTTTAATGAGAGAGAAATAAACTTTAAGACACTACACACTTGCATCTTTATTAGAACATCTTAGTTTCTATTATAAGTAATATGTAACCATAAATTTCTGATTTTACAATGCTTATATTTCTTAATGATCATTTTAAAAAAGTAAGAGGCATAGAGAATTTAGAGAAAAAGTGGTATGGCCAGATGTGTTTTTGGTTATTATACCAAACTTCTTGATTGGCAGACAGAATGGTTTAGTTTAATTAGAAAGTGACACAGGAAAGGAGCTGATCCCAAGGGTATAAGATATTTCCTTATAAAGAGCACTAGGTGTGAACATATTTTAGAATGGAATTAACTTCTGTTTCAAATAAAAGTAAATTACCTGTCAAAAATACAGTTCTCATTCTGTCTTCTTCAATCAATAAAGGCAAGCATTGTATTTAACCTCTATCCAAATAGGTAAGCATGAATTTTTGTCTAATACCAAATTTAGCTTTACTAACAATCATCTTTTTGGTTATCAGCAAAGAACTGAACAAATTTTATTTACAGAAAATTTTAAAAGGGATCTTTTGTCAGTATTGTTACTCTGGTTTAACTTCAAAACACTGATTCAGACTGCCTTTTAATTTTTCTGACTTATAATTATAACATAAAAGAAAATATAAAGTACTTTGTAACATAATAGACCAATATATCAAAGATTACTGACATCTGTATTATCATCAAGATAATCATCACTGTCACCATCTTTGGTGCTAACATGCATAACTACTATGTGTTAAGTAGTTTGCAGTACTAAATCTGAAGATCATATCTCCTGAAAATTTAATTATATATAACTAAGGAACAAGATAGTAAGTGGACCTTTTTGAAATGGGTTAGCATCCAGCTATTACCAAAGGTAATTTTTGCTTGTTAAGAGTTAGGTTTCAAAAAAATAATAATAAAATAAAATAAAATAATAAAATAAATTTAAAAAAAGAGTTAGGTTCCATGATAAATGATTTTAAAGATGCTAAAGAGATGTCAGCATGTTTTCATTTTTTAACTTTAGCAACTTCTAAAGGAAAAAGCCTTCTGAATTGCATCCACCAAATTCTGATTTTTTATTTCTTAACTTCAATTTGATTTTACATACCTGTTTTGAATACAAGCATGTTATACATTCAGATGATAGATTGAAAACCCAATCTTCACATCAAAAAATTATTTCAGTGGAAGACCAGAGAAAACAAACAAAATATTTGAACAAAAGCAGAATTGACATTTACCTGCATGATATAGTATTTTCTGAGTTGTATAAGTAGAGCATCTAAAGGTTTCCAGAAGTCAGAAAAACTAGGGCTATGCTGCAAGATTTGAGGATGCTTTTGTTGGTGAGGTTGTGTTCAGAATATAAGCACATGATTCAGTTAATATTTTAATATTTATTTTAATCATTATTAAATATTAATTGTTAAAACCTTCTTTACTCTATAAATGGTTTTACACTGAGAATTCCATCAGATATTCATGAAATTATTGTTCCATTTTACAAATGAAAAGTGGAGGGGAAGCAGAAAAGCTTCAGTAAATATAGAACATTATATATATAATATATATATATTTTAATATTTTATTTGTTTGAGAAAGAGAGAATGCACAATTGGAGTGAAGGGTAGAAAGAGTGGGAAAAGAAAATCTTCAGCATACTCCACTCTGAGCCTGATGCCGGGCTCAACCCATGACCCTAAGGTCATGACCTGAATCAAAGTCAAGAATCAGATGCCACCCAAGCACCTCTAGAACATTATATTCTTGATTGCAAGTTTTGATGCTGCTTCCCCTTGTTAATTGTTTGTTAGTTTCTTAGTTTTGATTTGCTTTTCAAATGTACTAGTCCATTGGAACAGTAAGAAAAAAATGTAAAGGAAACCAAATAATGAGAGAAGAGCTTACATGAAGAGCAGATCCAATAAAGAGAATAAATAGAATGGCAGTTTCTGAGAGCAATGGTTTATTCATCAAATGTGGGTGCATGAGGCATGCTAGTCTAGAAAGATGCAGTGATTAATTCAACAAATAATTTGAGTAATTGTGCATATGTTGGACACTATGTCAAATTAAATAGGTGAATGAAGCATAGTAAATGTGTGTAGGATGGTATAGCGAAAAACAGCCTTGGTTGTGTAGTGTTGTATAACACCTATCAGCTGCTAATTTCTGACCATCTTACACTCACTTATAGCATTTTTACATTCTCTGTAACCAAGTTTCCATTGAAATAATTGTTTAATAGTGGGGTAAAATTTAAATACCTTTATTACTTTAATATGTAGTTTGGAATATTGTAGACTGTAAAAGAAATTAGCATTAATTTTTCCTTTTCTTAGCCAACAGGAAATCATTGGATGCTCAAGGTTTGCATGGACTGTTGTTCCTGCCCCTTTTGAGTTATGTATTTTGTTTTTTTAAGATTTTATTTATTTATTCATGAGAGACACACAGAGAGAAAGAGAGAGAGAGAGAGAGAGAGGCAGAGACACAGGCAGGCTCCATGCAAGGAGCCCGACGTGGGACTCTACCCGGGTCTCCAGGATCATGTCCTGGGCTGAAAGCAGCGCTAAACTGCTGAGCCACCAGGGCTGCCCTGAGTCTATGTTTTTAGCTTAAATTTGACCATTGTCCATATAAAACACACTTAGAATATAGTTACAGACATATCTTCTCTTTGCAGTTAGTTTCTATTGGCTTCCAAAATAGCTAACTCATAATATGCAAGTTATCTAGACATATTGAAAAAAATGAAGCAATTTGCTACTTCCACAAGAGTGAATGAAAAGAGTATAATTCAAACACATACTAAAACCACAGAAGGCATGCTTGATCTATAAGAGGGAGAGAAGTGGGGGACGTCTGCATTTTATAGGAACTCATGTTTACACTAAGGTATAAGCATCTAAGACTGTTGCAAAGAACTACCAATTTGGCTCATTTGTAATTTATTCAAGAAGTGAGTAAATCACATTTTGAAAATGTGAAAAAAATATATATATATAATATGAATTGCATAGAAAGATGTAGAAAATATCAAAAGAAGTTTATAATTGACTGATAGCAATGAGAAAAGTACATTCACCCCGATACACTCATGTGCATAAACATAGACACATATGTGTGGAAGGAAAAGAGAGAAAGGATTAATGGGATCATCAGAATGATAACAGTTATTGAGGATCTGGGTAATTTAGGAAGGTCTCAAAGATGAGTTTTGGTTGATATTTCTTTTATAAGGTAAATTTGTGAGGGGTGTACATTGTAATTGGGATTGTTTTCTTGAACATAAGTGTTAGCCTGCCTTCTACTTTTGGGTATTTTGGGACACATACACCATTTTAAACTTCATTTTCTTCCCTCTGCAAAACCTTAAAAAAATGACTGCTGATTTCAGGGATCTTACACTAAAATACACACTTTAAAGATAAAATAACACCCCATAATATTTAGTGTTCGGCTCATCGATTTTGTTTTACAGTAAAATAGTTAAGCATGCAGAATGTCAAAGCTCAAGAGACTTACAAATTCCCAGAAAACCCCACTACTTTAAAAATGAACTGTATTCAGCCCGAAAGCTAATTTAGGAGGCTTACAAAATGTTTACTTGTGCAATGAGATTTATTTTGAATTGATAATAGTGGAAAACAGAGTTGAGGGGTGGGGAGAAAACATAGGAGGTGAAAGAATGGAATCCTTGTCACAGGTGAACATAAATTCAGATTTTGTACTTTTGAGTATTCCTATGGATAGCAAAATGATAATCACATATCTTCAGAAGCAAAGCAATATGATAATTCATATCAGAAAAAAACATGGATTTTTTTTCTTACAAATATATTTAATAATAATGAAAGATACACTTCACCACACTTTACAGTGCTGGTAATTACAGATTTGTTTTAACAGAGGATGGGAAAAATTGGCAGGTAAGCCATCCTGTTTGTGTGCAAGAAAACAAGAACCAAAGAAATCAGAGTAACTTGGACTTCTGATTCAATCATTCCCACAGATGACGTTGAAGAGATGAGAGCAGAAGACAATGGTTCCACAATAACACAATTTGTACTCTTGGGATTTTCTGACCTTCCAAACCTCCAAGGGTTTCTATTTGGGGTGTTCTCCATCGTTTATGTTATTATCTTAATTGGAAATAGCCTCATAATAATAATAACCAATCTTGATGCTGCACTCCAGAAACCTATGTATTTTTTCCTGGCAAATTTTTCTTCCTTGGAAATCTGTTATGTGTCTGTCACCCTCCCCAGGATTCTGGTGAACCTTTGGACTCAGGACAGAAGCATTTCGTGGTTGGGCTGTGCCACTCAAATGTGCTTCTTCCTCATGCTGGGAGCCACTGAATGTTTCCTCCTCGCTGTGATGGCCTATGACCGCTACGTGGCCATTTGTAACCCTCTGCATTACCCTCTCATCATGAACCACAAGATGTGCGTCCAACTGGCTGTTGGTGCCTGGCTTAGTGGAATTCCAGTCCAGATAGGACAAACATGTCAGGTGTTCTCGCTGCCTTTCTGTGGTTCTAATCAAATTAACCACTTCTTCTGTGACATCCCCCCATTGATCAAGCTGGCTTGTGGGGACACTTCACTTAATGAGATGTGTGTCTTTGTAGTTGCTATATTATTTGCAATGATTCCCTTTCTATTTATACTTGGCTCTTATGTGAAAATCATTTCCACCATCCTAAAGTTGTCCTCAGCCAGGGGCCGGTCTAAAGCCTTCTCCACCTGTTCTTCCCATATCATTGTTGTGCTTTTATTCTTTGGATCAGCTACCATCACCTACTTAAGGCCCAAATCCATTCATTCTGCTGGAACTGACAAAATGTTGTCTCTTCTCTATACCATTGTGACTCCAATGTTTAATCCTATGATATACAGCCTTAGGAACAAGGATGTGATTGCAGCACTCAGAAGACTGTTACTTAAAAAAATAGTGTGATGAGATTAATTGTAAATGCTTTAGCTGCTTGCCACACATTGATCAGAGGAACATTTCTAATTTCTACATTCCCTTGTAAGAAGTTAGCTACTTCCAGCTTATGATGTACTTCTACTTACTTCTAAATACCAACCTACAATTTATTGTGCTTGGTTATGTATCAGGCAATTTAATCTGTCTTCAGTGGCCCAAGCTTAAAGAATAATCCTGCCTCATGAATAAAATACTAATATGCACCACACATTTCATATGAAATTTGAATAGAAATGAAATTTATATAAACTAGGGATGCTTGTGGCTCAGTGGTTGAGCATCTGTATTTGGCTTGGAACAAGGTTCCAGGATCCTGGCATTAAGTCCCACATCAGACATCCCACAGGGAGCCCACTTCTTCTTCTGCCTATGTCTCTGCCTCTCTTTCAGTGTCTCTCATGAATAAATAAATAAAATCTTTAAAAACATCATGTAAAACAGAACTCAAACTATTAAAATTTTTGGCTTGACTATACTAAAAAATACATATAAATTATTTACCTAAATGCTTTCCTAATCTTCACACTTGTATTTGTTAACATTCTTTGATTCCTTGATTCTATAGGCAGAGATTGGTAATAGCAGCTAAACAATAAATGTTTTGTTGAATGAATTTAATGAATTTACCAAATAAATTAATGGATAAATGAATATTGTCATGACACATCACAGACTCCTGGCAAAATCAAGAGATTTCAGAGCATCAGTAAAAATTGAAAGTGCAACCTACTATGCAGCCATGTGGAATTATTCTAATCATCACACCAAAAGAAAATCTTACATTCACTTAGCTCTTTTTCTAATAACATCCTTCTGTATTTAACTTAACAATTTTGGCCCCAAAGTAATTTGTTTTGGATTACTTCACTACTTCTTTCATAGCATTCCAAATAGCTACTCCTTGCCACTTCATATTTTGAAAATAAAATATCCATGAGTTGGAAAGTGAAGGAATGTGTTAGAAGTTATTTGCAGGACTACTCAAAGTCCACATAGCTGTAACAGGGTGCCTAAACTTTCATGCCTTTAACCCTTTCTAAAGAGTCTGAAATTATTAAACCTCTGAACTGGTTTTATCAGGGAAAATGAACACCTGTCAACAGAACCACTAGTGCCTATCCTCCCAGTTCCAGGTTCTCACATTAGTCACTGGCATGAAGACATGATTAGTGCATCTGTCCCTGAGAACATCTATTAGCAGTTCTTTGACAATTATGACATTCTGCAGTTTTAGCTGTAATTGTACATACGCTTATATGACAATGTTAGTTCCCATTCTTTAGATGGTTATATTTTACTTCATCAAGCCATCTACATCCTCTACCACCTAACATAATGTACCTCATTTATTTATTTCTGTATTTTATCCTTGGAAATATACATGTTTATACCCTTCTCATTCAATGTTTTACATAAGAAATTTATGTATGCCTATGATAAAGACCATGATGGTGATGATGATGATGCTGAAGATGATGAAGATGATGATGATGGTGGTGGTGGTGATGATAATGATGATAAAGATGATGATTATGATAAAGATAGTAGTGGTGGTGTTTGCTGTTTCTGAAATTTAGTAAAGCAGGAATCATGATGTCACAGATACAGTGCTATCCCAGGAGTTCAGATAACTCAATTTAAATCTCTTTATCAACATCTTAAGCAGTTCATTAAGCACTTTCTTTCAGTACATTCTGTTAAGAACAGAAATCCAACTAAGTAAATCTTAAAGATCTTATTGGATTTTCTTCAGCACTTCATGAATCAGGTAGCATCCAATCCAACAGGTAGAAAGGAACTCTGAAGAGCTACACAAGGCAAGGGGTTTTATAGGCAGAAAGGAGCAGGAACAAGGAAGTTATCCTAGGCAAAAATATTGGTTATTGCAAAGTTACTTTCCTGACAGGGCATGGCAGGGAGGAATCAGGTATATTACATACCTAATGTTAACCAGGCAATTCTGGATTGCATGGTTTTAGATTTCATTCTTGGGAGACCCAAAACTGGAGCTACGTTTTGGTTTGGTGATGTGAGACTTAGAATAAGTGATTCTACTTTGAGCTTGTTGTATTGTCTGTAACTCTGCCTGTGTCTCTGCTTCTCTCTCTCTGTGCCTGTCATGCATAAATAAATAAATCTTAAAAAAAAAAGAAAACATACTATTTTCTGTGAATTTCTAGGATTATTGTAAAGGTCAATCAGTATCCACCTAGCATAGAGAAGCATTTGGGAAGGTTTAAAGCACCAAAAATGGAAGTGTTGGCTGTATTTCAGTATAATTCTTAGTGAAATCACTAGCTGTGTTGTGTTTATACTCAATCAATATGATATAATCAATATAGTGCTATTTTTGAGAAAAATGGACATTCCTTCATATGAACTACCTAGAGAAGAAAATCTACTTAAATACATTTAAGGAATGCATTCCTTTTACTTAAAAGGAATAATATTCCTTTACTTCATTTATGGTTAGTCTTTCAAAAATGTGCTACTTAACTCTTTGCTATTCTAAACAAAGATTATGGAACAGAGCTAAATATTTCTTACTATTCAAATAAAACATTAATGCATCTTTATATCACTATGAATTCAGCGCCAATTAACATCTATAGGATTATGGTTTCCTTTATATTTTTTAAAAAATTCCTTGAGACTTTTGTGATTTCTCTTTTTGTATCCCTATCCCTTGTCTTCCCAGTGTGTCAATTCACAATGAGGCAGAAATTAGTTCTTGGATTCACTTGATTATATTTGCTATCCATTATTAGCTACTGTGATTGAGGCTGATTAAAAAGAAACTGTGAGTAATGCTTGGTTGACTCAGTCAGTTAAAGATAGTGAAAGGGAATAGAAGGGAAGGGAGAAGAAATGGGTAGGAAATATCAGAAAGGGAGACAGAACATAAAGACTCCTAACTCTGGGAAACGAACTAGGGGTGGTGGAAAGGGAGGAGGGCGGGGGGTGGGGGTGAATGGGTGACGGGCACTGAGGGAGGCATTTGACAGGATGAGCACTGGGTGTTATTCTGTATGTTGGCAAATTGAACACCAATAAAAAATAAATTTATTATAAAAAAAAAAGATTGGCTTTTGGCTCAGGTCAAGGTCTTAAGGGTCCTATAATCCAGCCCTGCATAAGGCTCCCTGGTCAGCTGGGAGTCTGCTTCTCCCTCTCTCTCTCTCCCTCCCCCCTACTTGCACTCTCTCTCTCTCTCTGTTATTCTCCCTCAAATATAAAATAATATAATATAATAATAAAAAGAAATCATGATATAGTTCATGAAAATGGGCATCTGAATTAACATCTGAACCAACTAACTAATGGGCAACATGAACTAACTAACATACACTTTAACTAGGCCATGATCGCTAGTGAGGGCTGCACACTTTTTTTGAAAGAGAGACCAAAAAATTATTCTTATGCAACTTTCCTTTTTTTTTTTTCTGATTTTTATATCGCACCAGTCTTCTAGATAGCATCATTTACTGACTTCTGGCCACCCAATTTATGCAGAATGCAACACATGGCTTGTACCAATTGCTGAGGATTTAGATTCTCCATTATTTCAAAATAGGTGAGTCAGGGAATCTGGGTGGCTCAGTGGTTGAGCTTCTGCCTTTGGCTCAGGGCATGATCTCGGGGTCCTGGGATGGAGTCCTGCATCAGGCTTCCCGCAGGGAGACAGCTTCTCCCTCTCACTTTATCTCTCCCTCTCTCTCTGTGTCTCTCATGAATAAATAAATAAAATCTTCAAACTCTTTAAAAAATAGCCTAGGCAGTAAATACGTCATTGACAATATATATTTAATGAAAAAGGAAACATAAACATTCTTGTCTAAATTCATTTTGGATGAGGGTTGTCATATGTAAAAGATTCCCTCTTCCCAAGGCTATTTATACATTCTTTCCTCAACAAAATAACAACTTGGATATAATGTTCCTCTGAAGAAAACACTTAAAAAATTAAGAAACACAACTACCTATAAGAATGTAGTGGTTATATTTTATAAAAACTACTTTTTAAAAGGTTATTTTATCAAAGAATTATATATGACACATGAAATGCATGTGTCTTTAGACCATATGTAAAAGATTTGAACATAGTGACTTTAAGTCACAAAGTGGTATGTGGGGATCCCTGGGTGGCGCAGCGGTTTGGCGCCTGCCTTTGGCCCACGGCGCGATCCTGGAGACCCGGGATCGAATCCCATGTCGGGCTCCCGGTGCATGGAGCCTGCTTCTCCCTCTGCCTGTGTCTCTGCCTGTCTCTCTCTCTCTGTATGTCTATCATAAATAAATAAAAATTAAAAACAAAAAAAAAAACACAAAAAACAAAGTGGTATGTGGCCTATTTTCTCTGGTGACCTCTAGAAGCTAAGAATGACATTTGGCTGATAGCCAGCAAAGGGACAGGGTGTTCTGCAACCTCAGAGAACTGAACTCTGCCAATAACCTAATTGAGCAAGGAAATGGAATCTGCACTAGAGCTTGTAGAAGGAAGTGCAGCACTGCCCATACTTTGATTTTTGTTCACTGAGATCCATGTAGGATCTATGACCTACGGTGCCATAAAAGTTCTAGGAATCATCCATTAATATTTTAAAACAAAGAGTTGTATGTTTCTCTAGGTTAAGCTCTTATAATATCATATGCCAGATATTTGATAATTTGCAAGTAGTTTCTTCACAAATATTTTATATTTAAAAAAATATTTCACTCTCTCATCAGCTTTGCTGCCATTCCTGTATCATTTTGGCATTGAAAAACATTGTTAAGGAGTACCTGGGTCGCTCAGTTGGTTAAGTGTCTGCTTTCTGCTCAGGTCATGATTCTGGGATCCTAGAATGGATCCTCACCTTTGGTTCTCTACTCAGGGGGCAGCCAGCTTCTTCCTCTGCCTCTCCCCACTGCAAGTACATGCACTTTCTTTCAAATAAGTTAATAAATCGTTTTTTAAAGTATTATTA